AAACTACACCAGGTGATACAAGGGTAAGACTCACTGTGGGTAACCTGGGGAAGTCGGTTTAGTCGCGCGTTTTCCATAAAATCGTCGGTTGTTGCTGCAAACACTTTACGGAATTGCCAGCACGAGCCGAAAAACTATGCATCATTGAGTTTTGAACCACGATATCAGAAACAGCAAAGTTAACTTTTCTTGAGTTCAGTCGAGCAAGTTTTCAGTGTAGAAAATTGTATAAGAAAATATATCTAAGCACTTCTTAGTTGAATTACAAACCAGGAGCCCATTTTTTCGCAGCGTCACCGGAGGGGGCCCTCCACATAAGGGATAGGAATTGCGAATTTTGATCTCACTTAGAGTGGCCAGGACGAAAAGCCAATATTTTTCCCATACAGATATCAGTTAGGACGAGATGGGTTCATTCTCTTGGGGCTGTGCGTAAAGAAATATCTCAATAAAAAAGCCAGACACCACCATACTTTATTGAAGTACAGTCTCCTTTAGCCGTTCAATTCAATTTTTCGGCGAGCATTCCCGTCCCTATTACATGGGAGTCACCCCCCCCCTCCCGGCCCGCTGGTATTCAGTAAACGTCCTGAGAGTGCGTTACTAAGGCGTTTCGCTTATTTTTAGATTTCCTTTCCCTGGATTTCACTTTGTTCAAAAACGATTGCACGATCTAGGACCGGAGTTGATGTCGAAGCCCCACTGGTCCTTACTTAAACATTTCTTCAATCAAATGAACACAGTTAACCCTCTTCGGCTGACAATTCGCTGATCTTATGCGCCATTACTGGAAATTCTACTCTGTACTAATTGCATGGAAAAACCTGAACATGTAACACGCTGGGACCCAGGCCTCACATGAGTGATCGACTCTTGAGGTTGATGGACTCCTGGTTTTACCCATGATAGTTACGCATCGCATGCAGTGTGTACGCTAAAAAGTACTGAAATCTTATGGTGTACTCCAACGTCTTTTGGGTATCCCCGTGCTTTGGGTAACTCCGTATTTAAATCCCTCGTGATGTGAGTTTTTCCATTATTTTAGGTCAGCGTGACCGGTATCTCCTGGTACCCTACCGGGATACTAACATCCCTTGTGTTCGAAGGCACTATCTTTCGTAGCGTACGGTACCCTGGGTATCCCCTAGAACAGTACCGGGATACTAACATCCCTTGTTATTTGGGTTGTTGTTTCGAGGTGCTATCCTTCGCAGCGTACCCTGGGTATCCCCTAGTACCCTACAGGGATACTAACATCCCTTGTGTTCGATGGCACTATCTTTCGCAGCGTACCCTGGGTATCCCCTAGAACAGTACCGGGATAGTAACATCCCTTGTTATTTGGGTTGTTGTTTTGAGGTGCTATCTTTCGCAGCGTACCCTGGGTATCCCCTAGTACCCTACAGAGATACTAACATCCCTTGTTATTTGAGTTGATGTTTCGAAGGCACCATCTTTGGCAGCGTAACTTGGGTAGCAAGCGTGATCCGTGCAAACACCGTGCCCACCCCGATCATACCTGCCACTCAAGCTACTCACAGTAGTTTGTACCTTGGACAGGAATTCCGGCAAATAAAATGGCCTCTTGTGATTGCTTAAAGGTTGCCTTATGTAATTAGTTTACGCATCAAAAGACACTGCATGCACACGTAAAATGCTGCTTGTATAAGAAAAACGTTTTGAAGGCTAGTGGTTTTTGTCTGTGTGATCACTGGCAATCACAGTAGCCAATTCCTTTTAAAACACGGCTTCCAGTCTAACTTTGTCTCGAAGATCTATTAGTGAGCTGGTGGTCGACCGTTGTGAAATAAAAACTATAATTCAATTTCACTATTTTTAAGGACATCGCAACGAACTGAAATAACAAGGACATTATGAAGAAGTCAAGTTGTAGAGCCGGTTTCAGTGGCTGTGAAACGACCAAGGTAGGATCAGTGTTTTCACCCACATCACCAGGGACTTGAGGGCGGAGTTTCAAAATATTGGGATACTTAAATCAGGCAAACAACCAAAATGGGAGACACTTAGATTAGGGTGACACTTAAATACGGGGATATTAGAGGGTATCCGAAATGCAAGGATACTTAAATTAAGGGGATACCCAAAATGCCGGGATACTAAATTTAGAGGGATACCAAAAGCATATTTCAAATACGGGGATACCTAAATGATTGTCGCACAGTTGGTAGTGATTCGTTTAGTGCCATGGTCTTTTCTTCTCTTCTTGCAGCGTACCATTTTTCACTCTTCATCAAATGTGACTCCTTTTTCTTGTAGTTCTGCCTCAGTAAGTAGGCGATAGTAAGGCGGCGAACGATCAACCTCCGTCTAGTAAAGAGGACAAACAGCAACGGATTAAAAACAACGTAGAGTTAGTTCGTTAGTGATCGTGAAAATGGTAACCATGATTGTTTTGTGAAACCAATGGTGTGTCTCTAATTCCCCACCAACCTCAGCGTGATTGAGAAAGTCATTACTTTAACGAAACGCACACGTGTAATCGTCCTTCTAAAGGGAAAACTATGTAAACAAAGAAATTCCGCGTTTTGTCTAACCTGCGATCAAGCGTTTTTCCTTTCGGGGAAAGTCCTTCTCCTCGCCTCCAAAACAGAAGAAAAGAACGATCGCCTGATCGCAGGTTACGTTTTGTCCTGATCTTCTCGCACCCCGCGGAAGAATTAAGAGGCTGCTAATGGTCAAAAAAAGTAGAGCGGCTCTTTGGGCAAAGTAGCGAATGCGATGAAAGAATCGAACTAGGCTTCGCCAGTCCGCCTTATTTCATAACCCTACTTAACTTTACTTAAGTGTGAATGTATTTTGCATGGAAGTACAGTAGAACCTCGATATAACGAAGTCCTCCGTATGACGAACGGTTTTCTTTACCCCAGTAACAGCAAATTAGATGAAAAAGAACCTCGATATAACGAAACCTCGTTCTAGCGAAAAAATTTTGCCAGTCCCTTGGCTCTTCGTTATGTCGAGGTTCCACTGTACTAACTGAGGACACAGTTTTTGTTTCCTCCTGGGACGGAACCGACAGTTCTACGTCATTGGAGCAACGCAGGAGAAAGGCAGTACCTTCACTGCTTAGTGTTTTTAAGTATTAGTACAGTCACGGTAATCAGACCCGCGATCTCCCGCTATTACAGTAAAGCGCTCTACCGATGTTCCATCGAGTATTAAAAAAAACAGCAGTTAAGGCAAAACAAACCATAACATGCCAAATGTTGGCTTGAAATACACGGTACAATGCAGTGCATTGGTTGACTGACTTAAGCAAACGTGTGCCTCGCTTTACTAGTAAAATTGTGTAGTTCCAGAAAATATCCAACCCCCCCCCCGGCCCCCAACGGAGGGCAACAAAAATTCAGAGGGGAGGGGGTGGGGGTCCAAAAAGGGGCAATTTCCGAGGGGGTGAGGGGTGGCCTTTCGAGTTTTTTTCCGAGGGCTCCGACTGAGATTGATGAGCAAGCTATCAGTTTTTTTACTGTTAATCGGTGTTTCAGAGTAAAATTATCGTTTTCATCAGTAGTTTAGTAGTTTAGTAGTTTAGGAAACACCATTGTCGTCGTACCGCCTCCATGGCTGCCGTTAATAATTAACTAAGAAAGACCTCCACAAGACAAAATGCAGATTATTTGACACTGTATTAACATGAATGAAAAGATTTTTTTCTCTTGTTATCGTAGGGATAATTAGCATTTTTGACGGAAATATTCTTTCCACGGGGTACCCAGCCAAGCTGGAATATTACGGAAATTCCAGGGGTTGGGGGTTATAATAAGCACCGCGCCTGGAATGGAAATTCTAGCAAGGGTGACGTGGGGGGTCTAAAACAAAAGTGCCCTGTGTGGTGGGAGGGATATTTTTTGGAACTACAAATTAGCTGCTCAAGATTTTTATGTCCCCACTTTACCTTAAAATTTTTTTGAACGGTCTGCAGAAGGTGAGGTAAATGCTACCAAGCTAAATTTATAATCCTTCGAAAATACAATAATAGATTGTTGATTTCGGGGAGTTATGAAATGTCTAATAGCTATTTAAATTTTGACATTTCGTAAGGAGATACTTTGCTGAGCTAATCCCTCAGCAAACGTATTGCTTTATAGGAAACTAAAAAGACGCTGTTAAAAAATTATAAAAACTGTCTATGATCTCAGCGTAAATATAAATTGTAATAATCTAAAGTAATTCTTAAAACTGTTTTTAGCTCCTTTACTAGCTAGCAGCTTGACTTTCCATATGGTAAATACAAGGTTGAGTTAACTACAAGGCTAAAGAAAAAAAAACATCTAAAATAGGTTTTCCCCAGTGATTTCAACGATCCTGTACCTCAGCTCGATCTGGCACATTTTTCAATGTAAATTTGCACTGCAGCCAAATGATTGCTCCCTTTGTTCTTCCCCCGACCGAACGTCAGGTATAAGAATTGCCCGCCGTTTAATTTGTCGTCATTTTTTTCAACGCATCGCTACGCGTCTTCCCGAGATTTACCGTCAAGGAACATGCTTAAGCGTGACATTACAAGAGCAAGATTTCAACATTATTCTATAACCAAGAAGAAACCGCATTTATTTTTTTTAAAGAAACGGTAAAGAAATCAAAAAAAGAAGTCAAAACTTTTCAAAGTGTAATCCACTTCCATCCTGGCCATCTATTTAAGCCAACACAAACACTTATCACTCTGATTTTAGTGGACTGATATAGTGGTCTTTTACAGAACTTGAGTTTGATCTTGAAATCCATATTTGTCCACTGACGTGGTAATATTATTAACGGAGTATGAAAATTGCAATCTATTTCTACCCTGCAAGGCATCTAAAGACAAACAAAATACATTGGCAATTGTTGTCACGACTGGACCACTACTCGACAAGTTCTCTTTTACAAAAATGTGTCTTTTTTGTATGGATAAGAATGGCGACACAGTCCCTTTGAAGAACGGTTCGTTTTCGTCTACCAGGAAGTTCCTGGGCATTACGAGCATTAACAACGTCAATAACAAAAGAGAAACTCACATAATCTGAGGTCAAGTCCTTCAGGTTCCATTCCTTTGCTAATGTACACAGCTCAGTGGCCTCTTTCTTTGTCAGTTGAACCTTCTTGAGAGTGAGAAAATCAAGCTGAGGACCACTTCTGAGACAATTGATTAGTTCAGTCACTCCGCGGCCCAGTGGATTTTCGACAAGAGAAAGGCTCTCCAGTTCTGGTACGTAGACGAGTACATAGGCTACAGCTGTGACTTCCTCCTCACCCATCTGTGTAGCATCCAGGTGCAGCCTTTTCAGATGAGGTACATTGTGCAGGTGTTTGGCAAGCTCGCTTATCCCGTGACCGAGAGGGTTATCTGAGAAGTCAATTGTATCCAGTTGAGTCACATTCTGTAAACTACGGGCTAAAGCTGTGACTTCCTCCTCACCCATCTGTGTATCAACCAGGTACAGACCTGTCAGATGAGGTACATTGTGCAGGTGTTTGGCAAGCTCACTTATCCCGTGACCGAGAGGGTTAGCTGAAAAGTTAATTGTAACCAGTTGAGTCACATTCTGTAAACTACGGGCTAAAGCTGTGACTTCCTCTTCACCCATCTGTGTATTACCCAGGGTCAGATGTTTCAGATGACGCACACTATGAAGATGTTTGGCAAGCTCTCTTATACCGTGACCGAGTGGGTTACCTGATAAGTTTACACCGAGTAACTTATCAACATACTTTAAAGCAGTGGCAAGTAACTGACACTCTTGATTCCCCATACCAACAGCACTTAAAATGAGCGTAGACAGTCGAGGCACATGGCGAAGATTATTCAGTAAAATGACAAGTTCACTTGTTGGGCCCTCAATTTCACCCTCAATAATTGCAATCTCTCTCAAATATGACAGAGAGTGTGTCAGAGTCTGGTCAGACGTTTTCTCAGTTAACTGCAAAGAGTTGAAAACATCATGATTCTGTAACTTGTGATCAGGCTCTTGAAGAGAGGACTCTGGTGCTGATATTAATGATGTAAGCAGTCCACTGGGCAGGTATTGAAGGTGAGTTAGATAGCACACAAATCGATGTCCGACTTTCTTGATGAAAAAGTCGCCAGGTAATAGATAGTGGTACCTACTGGCGGATTTTACGTCACCATAACGTGTCACAAAAACGGTGTCCAAATCGGAAGAGACAGAAAACAGTTGTTCATTCTTAACTTCGACATCAGATTCATCATATGATGCAAAAAATACATAATCTGGCTTATCGAAATTTGTTGATCTCAGGCAATGTTCGCTGGAAACTTTAGGCAGTTGTTCGTCCTCTATCAATAAAAGACCATTAACGCATTGCAGAAATGAAGGATAGACATTTTTCCTATCTGAAGCAGAGCAAGAAAAAAAAAGATCGGAACTAGTACGATAAAACGTTCCTTGTTCTTCAGTGAGCTCCTCAATATAGGGGTTTTCACAGAAGTTGTAATCAGTCAGACCTTCTTTTTCTCCTATCATCTTCAGATGGCGAAAAATAGCAACGGTGGCTTCTGATGACAACTCCGAAACAAATTTGAAAACTTCAAGCAGCTCCTCGAACCGTTCAATTGAGTCGACTTTAGACAGACAGTTGAAGGCTTCCTTTGCATTCTTCAAATCACGAACTAAAAACAAGGCGGAAAGGAATTCTTGCACCGATTTATGAAGAAAGAACGCCAGTTTCTCAGGACGAGGGGAACTTGAGGGATTAGAAGTCTGAAGAAAGCCAAAATCGATAAATTTCTCAATGAGTAACCGAATGTCTTCAGGCAGCTTGCTGAGTTTGAAGTAAAGACAGCCATTTAAAAGTGCGTCCCAGGCAAGTTCCCCTAACTTTGCGAGGTCTTCTTTGTATTCATCCATGCATCGAAATGTCTCATCTGAGGTTTTGGCGGTGACGTGATCAAGCAGCGTCTGACAAAAATTACTATACAGAAGGGCACGGGATGTTGATGGTCCTTGATAATCAGAAACCTCCCAGCTGAGAACTAACATTAGCAGAAGAAGTGGTATTTCCGCTAAGTCCCACAGGTCGCGTTCATCTAAAAAATTTCCGAACTCGTCTACTTTTGTTTGGTCACGAAGAAACTTAAGAGCAAATGTTTCAACTTGCCACTCACCAAACCCATTAATTTCAAACTGAGCATGACTTCTTGGTCTTAACTCATCTTTTTTCCGAGGTCGGGTCGTCACAAGAAGAGTGCAATCTCTCAAATGACTGCCTTTCCAAATCTGATGGACTGGCGATGATTTTTCGGCGCTGTATTCATCATAGCCGTCTAAAATAAGTAGGACTTTCTGTTGGTTGTGAAGAATGTAATCATACAACTGACTAAATACCATAGGGTCACCTGCGGACAACAGCTCCGCCTTTTGTAGAATGGCACAGAAGTCTTTCGTGTTGCAAACATCTCGGAGCTTGATTAAAAGTACAACAGCAAACTTCTTTAGGATTTCTTTATTACCTCGTGACCAGTCAACGGCGAGTTTCTTTGTCAATGTCGACTTTCCTATTCCTGGCCTCCCATACACTAAAATTCTCTTAGGAATTAGATGATGACCTTGGCTTGCGAATAGCTCACTGTAATCTTGAAGCTTTTCTTTTGTTGTTCCAGCAAGTTTTCTGTCATCTCTTAGCAGTGTTAACTCTACATACACCTCATCAATGTCCATGGTATTATCCCGGTCCCAAGGAGTAATCATTAACTGGCTCGCGGTACTGTTGTAAAATGAGCAAAGCTGATTTTGACTCCACTCCAAAAAAGCAGTTGCAGCATCTGTTTATAAAAAAGTAAATCTCTTTTAAATCCTCTCAAACGCATTGAGCAGTAGAAAGTTAATTGTACAAGTTTTGTGGTGGTACTTATAGTGGTAGTTTTTCTATTATGGCCATTTACATCTAAGCGTGAAATAAAAACAGAGCCTGATCTCAGGTTAACACTGGAGCAAGATTCTTTATGCGTTAAGCTTATTACCAAGTCTTACACCACCGGTTTTTTAAACAACCTTCTGTCGAGAGGCTGACTTGTTGATCAATTTTTGAGATAATATCATAGGTGACGAATTACTCCTTAATTTTGGCGCGAAATTTCAGCGTTAATTTGTAATTTCATATGTGAAATTACAAAATTGCCATGGCAACCCTTCCGTACGTCTCAGTGTCAAGATGGCGACGAAGTTTTAAAATGCCGTGAACGAAGATGTCAGGGCACAAAAAGACGCTTTAGAAAACCTGAACACACAAGAGAACATCAAGAAGGATTCTAACAAGTATTTTTCCGAAAAGGTCGGAAAAATTCTGAACTTTATAAGCCAAATTTAAGGTCTAAACATTTGAGAGAGTGGAGTTCTCGATCGATACGATCCAGGAGAAACATGTCAAAAATCCAAGATTGCTAACGTAATTCGTCACCCATGATATTAATACGTAATCAAATGGTATACTCGTGAAATTATTTCCTAATTTCACTCGTCACCATTTGATTACACATACTAATTATAGATCTCAAAACTTTTATACTACAGTTAGTTTACATTATAATGGCCTCCCCTTCTTATTTAGTATTAAAAATTTAAAATGTCATGATTATCTTAACACGTTCAATGACGTTTAACATGGCTTTAGAAGCTGTGTTGTTCAGTGTTGTTTTATTGTTTTGCACTGTAAATCCGTTGCTCAGGCTAAGGGTGGGAAAACCTTACTAATTTAACAAATAAGCTAAGGAACAGAGCGCAAATAGCAGCTAATTAGACAAGAGAACTTAATAGAGGAGAGGGAAGAGGGTCTTTTTAATAACGTTCGAATTAGCACCCGTCTTCAAATAAAGTGCCCCTCCCCCCCCAGTGCAAAATAATTTTGCCCAATTATTAGCTAATGTACACTACACCCCTGATATGACAGTTCCAAAAACATAAACCATGACAAGAAAAAACAAACTAAAAAATTATAACCAACAACAAAAGAAAAAAAAAGAAGAAACAAGAAAACAAGAAACAAGAGAAAAACAACAAGAGGAAGGGAAAATGAACGGAAAATGTATCTTAAACTCGTAACATGTTGAATTGGAAAGGAGAGGCTTCCGACTGGTTAACCGTAACCTCTAGTGTCCCACAAGGTTCTTTGTTGGGACCATTATCATCATAGTCTACATCAACGATTTACCGGGGGTAATTAGTAAGGACAGTTCAATTGCTCTGTATGCTGATGACAGTAAAATGTATAGGGTTATTAGTACTCAAGAAGATCTGTCTACTTTTCAAAGTGACATAGATAAAATTTCAGATTGGTGTAAGATGAATAAGATGAGAATTAATACCAAGAAATGTAAGATCATGCGAATAACCAGGAAAGAGTCACCCTTAGTTGGGGAGTATAATATTGAAGGTCAACCTTTGGAAAGTGTTAATGTGTTTAAAGATTTAGGGTTATTTACTGCTAGTAATCTTTCATGGAACCAACACGTAGATAAAATAACTGCTAAGGCTAATGTGGTTTTAGGGTTGGTTAAGAGGACTTGTAGGGACTTAAAATATATTGATACAATGAACACACTTTATTGTAGTCTTGTGAGACCTTTATTAGAATATTCATGCGAAAGTTGGAACCCTCATACTAAACGTAAAATTGATAAATTGGAGGCTGTTCAGCGAAGAGCTACCAGATGGATCACTAGCTCTGATGATGATTATGATACTAGACTATCTAAGCTAAAATTGCTGTCATTATCTAATAGGAGGTTCACGAGAGATGTTACATTTTTTTAAATGTAATTCATGGGCATTATGATATTGACATTTCAAATAACACACAGGACCTTGTTCCAAATTTTAGTAGAACTGATGGTTTTAAATATAGTTTTTTTAACCGTGTTGTAGATGAATGATATGGTTTACCCAATCATATTAGAGAATCAAACAGTATTGCAACTTTTAAAAGGATAACTAAAACATTTATATTTCTATTTGTATATATTTTTCTTATATTTTAATTAGTGGGGACATCCCTAGTATGGCGCATTGGCGCTTTTGGATGTCTCCTTCTCCACAACTTTTTTTTTTCTTGTAGTAGTGTTAGCTTATTTCATTTCATTATTTGCTTGTAATGTAGTGGAGTGAATCTGTAATAAATTAATAACTAACTAAATAAATAGATTGTACATGTACAATGTAGCATTAAACATTAAGGCCCCATCCACACAAATCTGGATATTTCTGAAACTGAACATTTTCTTTATCATAAAACAGCCTTCCCTAAACACTAAACCAGTGAATCCGCTCAGTCATCCGTGGCTTATTCATGTAAAAAAATATGTGGTTTCAAAAAATATTTGGATTCGTGTGGACTGGAGCCATAAATTGGTACCTGAAGGACTTGGTAACTGTTCCTTTGATCTGGTGACTGAGGTCTGCTCTGATATATCTTCAACAAAAAGAGATCTCTCAATTACATTCAAGAAATCTTCTAGTTACTGCTACTTATAACCTCACTAGAAGTGCATATCAAGACAAGTGTAGTTTTAATACCTAGGGTGCGTTTGATTGGGAAATCCGGATTTAGATTTTGAAATCCGGACTTCGGATTTTGCAATCAAACGCGAAATCCGAAAACGGATTTCATCTCTGAGAAATCCGTCCTTAGGATGAATCTGGATTTCATGGGTTTCCCTTTTACTGTTCGATTGGGAAATCCGAAAAAAGATTTGCAGAACTATTCTCATGAACAGCGGTCTTCTTTTTGCTAATTATGCATGCACGTGCACTGCTCTTAACGACAGTTTGTCAAATCCTTTTTCGGATTTCCCAATCGAACGGTACAAAGGAAATCTAAAAACAGATATCTCAAATCCAAAATACGGATTTTACGATCTAAATCCAGATTTCCCAATCGAAAGAACCCTTAAAAATAGAAATATAGCTATGTGGTCAGCTCTTCAATCTCTTCTTGGTTTAAAATGACAGGGGAGCTTAATGCAATAGAAATTGATGCCATAGAGCTTACTGTGGCATCAAGGAGCCGTAAAACAACATGCCCAAAAGGGACATAACATTATGAGAAATATTTACCTTGGTAATGAGGCCATGAATGAAAAACACAAGGCTCACTCAAAATGTGTGCAACAAGAGATGCTGCCATCACACTGGCACAGGAAGACCAACTCTCTGAAGGCAACTGAGAACCATCTGCGTAATCAGTTATCCCTTTCACAATTAACCACTCAATTTGACAGTCAAATGCTGCTGTAAACACTCCTGTACAACAACGAAGAAAATGGCACTTGAGTTGAAGTCAGTCCTACATCAGTACACAGTAGTCTACATTATTTTGCAAGTCAAACTTTCCATAAAATGCAAAATATTTAAAAGCTAACTGGAGTTGGAAGATGGATGAAAAATGAGGAAGGTGTGAACTGTGGAAATATTTACAGTCTCCTTCCCAGTTGTGTTTGTTTGGATTGCGGTGATGGACAGCTTGCACCTTAATCACTGGCGGACATGCTTCAGGCAGGTATTAGGACCTCTATACATCCTCAGTGGTATGCTTTTCTTCAGCTTTTATTGCGAGCGAGTTTGGGGTTGGTGCTTAATGCCCTTGGGGAAACCAGGTCCTGTGACTCCACTGTTTGTGGTCCCTGTTGTTTTATTCAAGCATCTGTAGACTGGTTTGGGTGGGCACCACTCCTAGGGTTGTCATGAATACACTGATACCTCCAAGGCTCACTTAATTGCCCTCCTTTCCATTTCACCATGCACGTTCCCCACACCCACCTATTGTCAATGGGTTTAAATGTGGCTAAATGTGATTTACGCGAGGCTAAACACGAGACAATGCTGACTCCATTACTAATTATACATGGGGCAGTCTGTGGCTTTAGCATATTTTACAGTACTTTTCCTGAAGTCAATCATTTTGCTCATGATGCTTTCGCATGCAGTAGCTTTACATGTAGCTCAGTTTTTGCTACCAGCCTTCCCTCCCCTTTGGATGTTTTTTGATAAGTATATGAGCATTTCTCCACTGAAGGTCTCAGTGTGATGGTGCCTGCAGGATGCCACTCACAGGGTTGTCGTGGTTACCTTCTAGGTTTGCTTGGGGCTCCCTTCAGTTTCACCAGGCACCTTCCCTACACAAACATGTACGTTTTGTCAATGGGTTTAATTTGCAGATATTATCACTGTCATTATAACAGCAATCTGAGCAAATGCAAATTAATCTGAAAAAAAAAGGCAGCTAGGGAGGGATAAGAGGGAATTTGGAACCCATGGACTCTGCATTAGCATGACAAAAAAGGTCTAAAAACTGACAATGAAGACCCATACATTGGGAGCATGAATATCTTTACAGCAAATATTATTATTAAAATCAAGCAAGCAAACAATTGAACAATACCTTAAAATTAACACTGAATTAAAAGCAATATACACATCTACAGCACTTTAAAAGAGACCTGACTACATACAGTAAAAACCCGCGACTAAGAACCTGGTTTTTAAGAACCTCTTGGGCTAAAATTTGCCACTTTATAAGCCCCCTCTATACAAAAACCTGTTTAGCCTAAAATTTAAAACGGGTTCTTACTTTCAAAATTAAGAAAAAAATTTTGTACACTTGGACAAATAGGATAAGTCAACATTCAGGATCCCCTTTGGAGACATAAGTGCCTTATCACCCCAACTGGGATGTATTGGTATGAAGATTTTCTGCAAAGAATAAGCTGAACATCACTAAATTCTCTTAGCTACAATTTATTTTTCAGAAAATATGAACCTATTTAAGCACCCAAATAGCCTAAATTTGTCCTTATTACCAGTTATGTAAGAACCTATTTAGGCTAACTTGCACGGGAAAAAGCAGGTTCTTTTGCGGGTTTTATCTGCATACTTGCTAATGCTGGCTGAATACAAAGTGAAGTCACCTTCTCCTTCATTTTCTATTGCCATTGCCTGAGGATTGGTTTTAGCAAGTTGATCACGTCGCCACTCAGCTCTGACTTGTTCTGGTCCGCTCAGGATCTCTGCATCAGTATAAACTTGAACTTGCTGTGCTTCAGCCAGGTCTTTCAAAGGTGCGTGCCAGCCATTAGCACAATTCTTAATGACATCCAGAAAGCCTTTGCTCACATAACTTCTCATGCCAGTTGACTGTTCTTGATTGTTGGTCACTACCTTTGATGCATATGTTGCTAATTTGGCAGATACGACAACATCTCCTAACTTCGATTTTGCAGGGTTCAGGCCACTACATGTGCCTACAGAAATAACTGCTTTGGGTCTTAGCACAGATGCAGCATTCTTTACAGATACAAGAGAACCACCAGGACCAATACCATTTTTGTAACATCTTAGTAAAGCAACTTTTAACTCCTCTTGACTTTGACCCACATCAGAAAAGTAAACATAGCCAAGACCATCAAACCAACATCTATAGGGGTTTTTTAGCTCACTGTAACAAGCTAAGAACTCACAGTTTGTAACTGTAAGTAACAGAACATCAACAGGAAGACCAGCATCTTTTGAAGGTTTGGTTATTGCCTTAATATCAGCCAAGGATGGAAGAACTTTGTCAAGCTCAGGAGGATCCCTAACATTCCTTGTTGCGGTTCTTTCTTTCCTTCCTTTCTTGTTAGTCTTTCTTTTTACTGTGGTTCTTTTGTTCTTTGAATTGTTTGAAACATTCTTTGAAGAAGATCGGAGACCAGTGGTAAGCTGGGGTGTATTACCATCACTATCCTCTGATGTGTTTGTTGAATCCTGTGAAGATTTTATTTTCTTGGATCCTAGTACAAGAAAAAAAAAAAACAGTAACTAACTAAATAAGGATTATTAATAAATTAATGTAATTAGAGTCAAACCTTGCTTTACGGACACCCCCTTGATGTGAACACCTCGTTATTATACAGACAGATTTCCTTGTCCCTTTCAGGCTCTTAAATTTTTTCAAAATTTAAAACTAACCTGCTATAAATATAACAGACACCCTAATTTAACACAGATCAATTGGGTATGACTGTAAATGTAAATGTTATCGGTTTACTCACGAACTTGCAGGTGCTCATACATTCCATGTTGAATTGGAATTTAGAATTGCTGGGAAAACAGAAGTATCCAGAAAAAAAAACCTCTCAGAGCAAGGGCCGGAGAACCAACAACAAACTCAACCCATGCCCACATCGTGTCAATGTTATACATAAAATCTGTTAACACATTAAACCACAATACCACTTTTGCCAGTAAGGTCGATTTTATTGATAAGCAATAACAGTAATTGAATTGGTGCCCTGGGTGCTAAAAATCTTTATGGGGTAGGAAAGGGTGGAACACCAATCCAAGGGAACTCAAAAGGAGGCTCTTGTTTACAGGGGACACATTCTTTATTTTTTTAGAATTTCACCCTAAAGATAAAATTCATCTTTGTTTTAAAATCAATAAACAAAAGTCACAACATTCGCCATTTGCACCTCTCTCATATAATACACCTTGTTTGCCCCTAAACCTTTGCATAAGCTCTGTTTTTTATTCCTTTATTTCATTGGCCCCAAGAGAAATTACAGAAAATGCTTATTCAAAATTTTGGGGGACAAACAAGGTGTATTACCTATAGGAGATGTGAAAATGGCAAATTAGTATAGGTACAGTGTAAAGTTCAGTCCTGCATTATGGAATTCTCTTCATGAAAACGTTTTATAATGTGGTCAATTCTATAATTTGCTGTGCAGAGGTCAAAGCGCTTTCTTCGATCATCCGGAACTCTGAATGAGTACAATTTGTCTTGCAATTAATTGTGAAACCTGCAGTTTGTATGATAAAAACAGTGTCTCATAGTGCTGTTTACCTCAAATTTGATGAATAAAAGTATAAAAGGCTGGTTTCAGACATGCAACCAGATTTAATTTGTTGGCAAGATTTTGCACAGTAAACGTGTTGAACGCAAAAAATTCGGCCTAATTTTGTTTTCCAAGAATTTGCTGAGGCCTAATCTACTGTGATCAAGAGCCATTATGAGTAATGTGATCAAAGATGATTGCTATTTCTGGGGATGCACATACAGGCTATTATTAATTTACGGCCATATAAGATTTGTTTCACTCTTGGACTGTTTGCAAATTATTGCTTCGGCGGAGCGCGAAGTAAAGGATTCGCGACGCTCAGGAATGTATCAAAGTTACCAGTTTTTGACAAGATTGGGCATGCAAAGTCTGTAGGTTTTCGGTTTTATTCCGCTATTTGACAAAGTGAGAGCCGAATTAGTGCGAGATATCTCGAGATCACTTCGATTTCTTTGATTTATTCTTTAACTTTCTCGAGGAAGAAAGAATTATTATTTTGGCTTCCCTAGGGTTTGATCCGACTCGCCTGTGTGACCCGTCAGGTCAGAGGAGACTCTAAGTTGAGGGATTAGCCGATTGCGCTACTGCGACCCGAGGTAGTTCGGCAAATGAAAAGTTATGAAATTATGCACTAGTTTCGGGAAAAGATTGGGCGTGCTAGTTCGCGACTTTTCGGCTTGTTTCGGCTATTTCACGAAATGAAACCGGACTACTATGTGATATCTTGAGATCACTTCGTAGTAAAATTGCTTTCATATGCGTTGCGTGTCTTTCTCGAACTCCTCTACTTTTTTGGATTATTCATGAATAATTAATTAGGGCATGTTTACATTTCAGCATGAGTCAACAGATTTGCATCAGTTACTGAAATCATAAAATCTGTCGAAAAGCTACTACTATTCGCCCGTTTAGTATTTTCTAGAACCTTATGTCAAACGGTATACAAGTTCCAAGCGAGGTATTTTGACGAACTAAGTTTTTTCCCACGAGCTGGACTGGTGTATTTAGTCAAGTGTAACGAAGGTCGATTTTCAAGTTCTGTGTTTACAAGCTGGCGGAAGCCGTAAGATATCTGAAGTTCAAGTGAGAGTTTGTTATTATTGGTAGAGGCTGTTTAGTTGTACTTAAGTTCAAGTCAAGTTTGTGTTGGCGGATGCTGTGTTTTAAAGCTCTGAAAAAGCTATGTTCCTTTGGTAATAAACTTCCTTGTGTTAATCCGTCATTCCTGCGTGCTGATAGTCAGTGAATAATTATCCTCAAAACATTCGAACTCGTAACAGCCAATTCCATGCTCAACGTAATTGACTCCTTACCCATGCGTTACATATCTTTAATCAGTACATGAGACTGCTATGCTGTTTTTGAAGCCTGATGTGACTAAGAACAATAGAGAATTCTTTTTTCACTGTTTGTTTTGTTAGACTTGTTATTCACCGCCAGTAACCTCATATTTGACTTAAGTCTAAACGTTTAGACCCGAGTCAAATTTAGAAGGATTTGTATGGAGTCATCAGAGCATAACTGGGCTAATATCTCAGAGACAATTTGTTGCTAGTTTTTGGCAAGTAGGCCTCTTGGATGTTGCTCTTTTCAGAATATCCTGACAAATCCCATAATTTCAAAAATTTACACCTTACTCGTACCATATTTCATTTCTTACTATTCCTCCGCATTTACAATTAATCAGTTCCACAACCACGACGCCGAAGTGTACGCTCCGTAGCGTCTTGTTTTTCTCTAAAATCACTCTTACCCTTTCCCTCAAAAGTCAAATGAATGTGCCCTAAAGTTAACTGATTTGTGGATTACAAGTTTATTGTTTGATTAAACTATAAATTTAGTAATAAGTGCTTCGTTTTTAGCCCTGGCTAAATCTATTTATTATATACTAAAACAGTGGATAGTGTTTTTCGCGCGCTCTGATTGGCTACTCAATCAGTGAATATCCTGCACTATTCACTGATTCACCTCCAGTTCCTCCGAGCGAGCTTGCCCAGTCCCTAGGCCTCATTATTATGCGCGGCCGATGCGTTTCCGGTCACGTGATCCGAGAAAGTTTTTGAGGCCTAGACAAACTCGGAGAAGTGAGACATTTTGTCTCACTTGGCGCGGAGCTTTTGGAAGCGGGCGAGCTGTCAATAACTTTTCCGCAATGATGAAAGATGTCCAGCAGCCACGGAGAGTACAGAGGATAAACCGAGCATTTTCATTCTATGCACGTTTTCATTCTTGAAAGTCTTTTGGCCTTCCTTATTCATTTATCTCATTAAACTAATTTGAACTTCATCTGATCTCAAGAACTATTTGTAGGCTAAGCAAAACAGCGTCGCAAAAAAATTATTTGATCAAGGTTCGGAAGGTAAGCTAAAGAAATAAGTTTATATTTATTCTTGGATATGAAAAGCTATCTTTCGTTTCTCTATTTTCGCTTGCTCCTATAATTTTCTCGTCATCATTTCACTTCGAAATATTTCATGTAATTTAATTTTTGGATTTGGAAGCTTTTCAAACTAATCGGACAGGCTGTTGAATTTGGTCTCTAAATTTGGTAGAATGTCAACAAACTACTGTTTAAGTCTTGTTATCAATAAAGAAATATCATTTTAATGGTTCATTTGAAAATGAACTAAAAGAGAAATTACTTGCACGTTACAGTAGTATTATTTCCGATTCAAACTAATATTTTTGTTCTTTAATAACAGAAACCAGGTTAGCTATTCTTGAAGCGAAGGATATTCACGCGCAAAGTTATTTATAGAAAACTGCTCACGGATGCGCACTCCGAGATTGTCTAGGCGTGTCCCGGCCGTTCGTCTCGGATACGTCACCGAAATGCATTGACCGAGAGGGCCTGAAAAGACGCCGTACAGGGACTAGGCAACGAGCGAGCGACGCCAAACTCGCGTAAGTTGCGAGCAAAAATGCTTTCCCGGTTTGCTGCCGTAACAAACTAAGAAATTTCACAACTAATCAAGCAAGCTATTTCCGAAATACATGAAGAAGGTGACGAAGTTCGGTTTGGAAGTTTTAACAGGTAAAGCTTTGCCTTTTTGATTTGAATAGTTATCGATAAAACCGGTGAAAAAAGTTTTTTGTTTACAAATGCAAATTAAGCTTAAGTCTTGCGTTACTTTATTTAGTAGACTTGTTCATAAATAAGCTTAAAACTGAATTTAATAATCTTTTTTACAGAATTATTTTAAATACAAACAGAATTCAAAACTCCTTTTGAAAAAACTTTCCCGCAAGAGCTAAACAAACGCCTTCAAAAGTTTTATTTGTCGCTAAGAAAAATCGACGACCGCGGCCGTTCGGTCATCGCGCGCCAAAATTGTAATCGTTGGCAACAGTAAATGAGTTAAAAATCATCATTTTGTGCTCAATTATCTCACTGTTTTAGTATATACTAAAACAATTATTCACCTCCACTTCGGTGAATAATTGTTATATATTAGGCTGGTGTTTCTTTCAAAGACAAAAATGTTCTGCTACCCTCATATCACCAACCAGCTTGACCTTCAGCAAAGTGAAATAAAGATGGTGTAGAAGAAATTACCCCAAGTGTAACTGGTGAACAGGCAAAGAGACTGTCACCACTGGCAACCAAGTGAAGAGAAATCTGGCATCAATACTGTGAATCTGTCAATGCTGAGACATTCGCCCAATCAGAGCAAGATAGCAGAATCTCATTTGGCTGCACTACAGGCCGTAAGGCTCCACCCCTTTTTCTCCTTTCCCAGCCATTCAATTTGCTTGCTCCACTCGAGGATTTATTCTCCCCCATAGGGGTGTGCTCTAGCAGAGCCCTGGCACCTGACTTTTGTTCTTGGGCGACTAGAAAATCACAGTTTTTTCATACAAATCATATGCTGGGTACCCTGGATTTTACAGGCTCAGAGCACTGGGCTCCCTTCAATTTTCCTTAGAGCACAGCCTTGATCAGTATGCATATTTTCT